CTCAGTGTATGCTGGAGATTGAGCCTTGGGCTTTGAGACAAATAGAATGGGAAATAAATGTGCCTCCCAGTCAGGACAGATTAGCGAACCAGGGGTAGCCATGATATGTACCAGACAGCAAGTATTTCAAAAATAAGGAAACGGGTTTCTCTGAAAGAGAAAGGGAAAAAAAAAAAAAAAAAAGACAAACAGAAAACCAAAAAACAAAAAACAAAAAGAAAGCTCAGATGATAAAATACTGTTTCATTTGGCCACAAACATCCATCCTCACCAGATCTTTCTTGCCAAAGTTCGGATGAGATGAAGACTGGTTGTGTCAATTGTTAACTGAGTTTGTTAATGATAGTGGGATCTCAGGTGGAGATAAATTGGAACCTGTGTTGGTGACAAGGACCAACTGCCCTCTTTCTCCTAACAACTCAGAGCCTTAATAAGAAACAAAAAGATGTGCCTCCAGTTCCATCCTCTACATGGGACCCTCTGGAGTCCCTACCCCTAGCCTATAATCCCTAACACCCCAAGCAGCGGGTCTGCTTCAACAGAAGCTGGTGCCAGCCAAGGAGGACCCAGCCCCTGGTGCAGCCACTCAAGGGGAGAAAGACTGACTTCATCTCAGATTCAAGAGCAAATTAAAAAGGTACCAAAAACATGTTCAGAATCTCCTGTTTCCCCAAAGACTAAAGGGAGTGCTCAATCTGTCTGTCTCTTTCTCCTGGGTGAGGGAAGAATTGGGTTACAAATCTTAGCTAATTGATAAATTTACTTTTGGCTTCCAGTTTAATTTGGTATTTTTGTTTAATTAATATACTTAAAACATTTCTTATGGATTATAAGTTCTTATACTACAATTACAGGGTTAACTTACTCTTCTCTCTGCTTTCTGCTGATAAGGGTACTGATTCAAGATTACTTAAAAGTCTGTTGGCAACCAGTTAAGTTTAGAATTTTCACAATCTAAGACCAAGAAAGAGAAAAGAAAAAAAAAATTACAACAGGTAGGGGCACAACCCGATGCTCAGAAAAAAAAAAAAAAAAGGTTTCTTCCAAATGGAAGGGAAATGTTATCTAAGCCCCTTATGAGACAGGTCTTAATTCCTCTGGATCTGAGAGGA